TTGGGGGACACAATTCAATCCATGACAGGCACCATCTGCCATTAGCTCCTAACATCTGAACCATGCTCTCTGATGGACCAAATGTAGGATCTTTTATTTGTCCACATAGCAAGCACTAACATGAAGCTTCTAGTAGAACTGAATAAATATAACTGAGAGGACACCAGATACTACTGGAGAGAAATATGACGATTTCTTAGGATGGTAAAACTTGGTAAAGAACTATCTGCAATGGTTGCCTACATCCATTAAAGCCCAGAGTTCGAAACGGCTTTTGCTTCACAAGTCTCATATCCTTGGGCTTCCTGCCAAATCTAGCTCATGAAATAGGAAACAAGGCGGTATGTTCTTGAAAGTGTTTTCATTTTACTAATACATCTCAGTGTATGTATTATAGTCACCAAAGTTCTTTCATCATCAATTCATTTGATCCTCAGAAATATCTCCAAAGACAGGCAGGGCAGCTTGCACCATTATCCCCTGAGGCCCAGCGAACTTACATGGATTATGATCTAGTAAGTGGCAGAGCCAGGGTGGGAGTCCTAGGCTTCTGGATCTAAATACTGGGCTTTTCTCTCTACACAGCACAGCCTCACCACCCTCACACCAGCTTTTGTTTTGTTTTGTTTTTTGCAAAAAAGAAAGGCTCTCTTTCCCCTTTGATATCAAATTGCCACCAGCCGGGTGTTTGGTCTGTGCACAACTGGTAAACTTGTGGGATTCATAAAAAAATAACAAATAATGACTAAAGAACAATCCTTGAATGTGCCAAATCATGTGACCCAGATAGTAAGCGTCCCAGAATGCCAGCAGGGAGAAAGGGAGACCATTAACTATGATGGCGTTTCTTCTTCTTAATACTTGCTCCAGATAGTTACTTTATGCAGGGCTATAATAAGTTTTAAAACATTAAATCAGTGAATATCTCTAGGGCTTTATTGATTCTTGAACAATTTTGAACTATGTGGCCTTTTCTGAGCCCCAAGGATGGATGAGGGATGATCCATGGCTGTCCACGCTGTTTATTACCTGGTTAAATGACTTAAACTAGGAAAATGATAAATTGGGTAATTAGAGCTAAGAGGAGCTTGACTTTATTAATAGTGATTTTCAAAAATTGAATTTTGTTGTAGGATTTTAATGATATCATTATTGACAGTATCAGGAGTAGTTTTCTATTTGATGTATAAAGAAATAAAACATAAAGAAAAGTTAAATGAACTGGATAAAAGACTTTAAGCTTTCAGAATCGTGCCCTAATGTCACAAAAGACACACACACAATGACAGATATCTAAACATTGATATTTCACTATATGGATGTTCATTTGTTAGTTCAAGAAAAATACTATGTAAAACATGATGCATAAGTATATGTATTTATATGTAAAAATAGTAACTGAAGTTTTGTACTTATTGAGCAATGCTAGATTGGTGAAATTCTACACCTGAAAATTCTGATGATAATTTTCTCACGGCCAACATACTTTGTCACTGAATTAATAACCTGAATGCCCAGTCTATCTCCCCTGCTGGGTAGATAGCTCTTTCCTCATTTCTCTTTCACTCACTCCCTGCATGTGCTGTCGAGTTGGTTCTGACTCATGGCAACCCTATGTACAACAGAACGAAACACTGCCCGGCACATACACATACATAGTAGGAGCTCTGGTGGCTTAATGATAAAGTGCTCAGCTGCTAACTGAAAGGTTGGCAGTTCGAACCCACTCAGTGGCTTCGTGGGAAAAAGACCTGGTGATCTGTTCCTGTAAAGATTACCCTGTAGAGAACCCCATGGGGCAGTTCTACTCTGTCACTTGGGGTTGCTGTATTCGAAATAGACTTGACAGTACCTAACAATGCAACAAAATGCATACACACACATCTATCATTACTCAATTCAGTTTTAACTACGTTTTAAAAGTTTCAAATCTGTGCAAACCTATGTACTAGTACTATCAGGGAAAAAAAGCACAGATGAACTAAGCATAATTGCTAACCTTCCCTCCACTTTCAGAGAATGGATTGAAAGTAGGTTTGAATCTTATTTTTGACCTGCATTTGAATCTTAGCTCTGGCAATTACCAACTCTATTATCTTGACCAAGTTCCTTATTTTCTCTGTATCTCAGTTTTCTTATTTGTGAACTGGGAATAATAATAATATCTACCTTTATGGGGTTGTCAAGAGGATTCAGTGAGCTGGTGTGTGTAAAGCACTTCGGACAGTGCCTGGCACAGAGTACGATATTATTTTTGTTACTATTATTATTATTTTATATTATTATTTTGAAGATCTTATACTCTAGAAGAGACTATAGACTTAATCACAGGTAAGTCTAACAAAAAGCAATCAGTGACATAAAGGTATATCAAAATGCTCTGCTAAAGGGGTGTTCAAAAAAAAAAAAAAAACCCTAAATTTAGCCTTCAGAGCAAAGAAACCAAACAGAGTTGATCATTTTTCCAGATTCTACAAATACTATCCCTTTTTGCTATTAAATGAATAATGATGTCTTCAAAACATCAGTTAAATGCAACATAGAATTATATATGGGAAAGCGGTCTTTCTTGCTTTTAACTTTAGCAAGTCAGCCAGCTCAGCAAAGGCGATTCCAGAACAGAATGAGAAAACAAAATGAACAGCCCTTAAAGTCCCTTCTGTTTCTAAAATTCTGTGATTCCACTGTCAAAATACCTTAATGGGATATCCAGAGACATAAAAATAAGGTATTTCAGAAAAATAGCATTTTTTAATGATAAGCCCCCCCCCCCCAATTTTTATCAATTATCTTTCTGAGAAACTGGCCTTGGAACAGAATTAACATTCGCCTTGAAGAAAGAGGAGTTATTTTGAATAAGCTGGGCCACCAAAGAAGGAACTCTATTAAACAAAGTCTTGGGGGAAGTGAACTATTTACTGATTCAGTTTGTGGCCTAAAGTTGAGGTGTGTTTTGGAGGGGAGGGGGAGTCTTTCATTACAGGATATTATAAGAAATTAAAGAGAAAACGATAGGAAATGTATACATTAGAAATATGGTGGTAAATTGGACTAAGTATTGTATATTAGCAGCCCTGGTGGTGCAGTTAAGAGCTACAGTTGCTAACCAAAAGGTCGGCAGTTCAAATCCACCAGTTGCTCTTTGGAAACCCTATGGGGCAGTTCTACTCTGTCCTGTAGGGTGGCTATGAGTTGGAATTGACTCGATGACAACAGGTTTGGTTTGGTTTTTTACTGTATATTAATTGTGGTGGAGCAGAGAGAATGAGAAGGATGTAAATAAGAAAGAAAAAACAAAAAACAAAAAAACCCTGATTTTTAACATTCACTAAAAACAATCTTTAAAAATATTGCTAATGTCAATTCCACTATTCTTTTTCTAAAGCAGTTAGCGTGTATAAGAAGCTACTTTGATATGTTTTGCTTTCTCATTCATTCATCAAAAAGTTACTGATTATTCATTACATACCAGCTGTGACTAAGACAAACATGGTCCCAGCCCTTATGAAGGTTAAATTCTAGCAATGAGGAGGGCAGGAGAGAAAAGAGAAGAAAGAGAAGAGGAACCTGGACAACCCAGAGTGAAAATTCATCCCTTGAATAATAAAAACTTACCGTATAGACTCGGTATCTTAAGATACCCTACCATACTTCTCAAAAACAATTTGGGCATATTCAACTGATTCCAGTAGTAAAACAATAGTATTTCTTAAAAATATAATGCCTTTGAAAATAAATATAGATAAAACTATTGTTGTTAGTTGCTGCTGAGTTAATTCAGACTCATGCTGACCCCATGTGTGCAGAGCAGAACTGCTCCATAGGGTTTTCAAGGCTATGACCTTTTGGCAGCAGATCACTAGGCCTGTCCTAGGGTGCTTCTAGGTGGGTTTGATCTGCCAGCCTTTCGGCTAGTAGTTGAGCACTTAACTGTTTATGCAACTCAGGGACTCCAGATAGAACTCTCAAGCTGAAAACTCTAATATTCTCTAGAAATTTGAGAATATTATCCTCTTGAAAAAAATGAACAAGGTAACGCAATTCGGTTATGATGGAACATTCTTTCCACCCCCCAAGGTGGATCATGTGTTGCATCAACAATTTAAATTACTCCCAAAATTGGGCGCTGACTTTAGGATTTATAAAAGAAGTATTTTCAAAAGAGATCATTCCTAAACAATTCCTTTAATCAACAGTCATAGAATTTATTTAACTGATGGTGCCAGAGTTTCTTCACGAGGACCGTAATGGTGCATCACTTCCTTAGTCACCTTCACTCAAAAGGGTAATGGGATCAAATGCATTTTTAAATGCAGATTTTTGGTTTATACAGTTCTTTTTCATCTTCTGGAAAATGATTACTAGACTTAATCAAGTTTCCTCTGTATCATTAACTAATTTTAGCTTCGTCCTTTTTCATTTTTTAATTTTTTACAGTGAGTTTGGGAGAGTCCAGTTTTGACTTCTCTGTGGATTTCATGATTTTCTGTTCAAGGCTTGAGGGAGGCTAAATATAAAAGCAGGGAAATAGTAATTAAAAGTGATTAGGACAAGAAGTTTTGGTGCTAGGAAATGTGGGCTCAATTTTCCTTGTCATAAGCCATACCAAGCAGCAGTTTTTGGTTTTGATTACAGCATTACTCGCTATTTTAATAAACATGAACCAGTATTCAAACTTTTTAATATCCTGCTGCGTTAACTATTTCCAAAGAGCTACCCAGCTCTTCTAAACAGTCTTTGTTTTAAAATTTTAATTTGTTTGGCTCAGTCTCACCTTAGAAAGTTGTAGCCTCATGGTAAACTCTTTTATAAGTTGATTTCCAGAATCATAAGCAATTTTTCTTTTTTTCCCCCCACTAAGTGTTTCCTCATGTGCCAATATTGTTGGTGCTGACAGCTCTCTTGCCTAGTTTTATCTGGTTCCCACAGTAAATACGAGAGACAAACACAAGAATGTATCCCGCATTGACGAGACACATCAAGACTGCAGTGATACTTACAGCTCCTCTAGGAAGCGGAGATTGTGCAGGGGATTCGGGGGCAGCTGACTGATGTTGTTCATACTGAGGTCTCTGGAGGGGAAAACAGACAGTGTGTGAGGAGTGGCATATGCCACCACGAGGAAATCCAGTTGTTCAATTCACACATTTTCAAGGAATACAGTTGAATGGACTCATTCCTTTGCTTGACAAATGAATTTCTATTTTGCATCTTAAATATATTCTTTTCCTCCCACCTCACCCCCCAACATCATGGCTCTCTATCAATTATGGACCCTAAGAAAAGCTTCTACGGAATCCAAAATGATTTAGACTATTCATGCACACAGCTGTAATTCTTCACGTTTAAAATTATTTGAGTATGACAGCAAGGGAAACAGACATAACTCAACTCTAGTCATAACTCAACTTTGTATCCTGCATTAAATTTTGTGACAAAAAAGAAATGTCTTCACCATGTAACTCTGGAAGTCCTGTTTCTCTGGGACGTTAAGCACCTTGTAAAAACAAATGTTTTGATTCAAAAAAGCTTAAAAAAAAACAAAACAAGACAAAAAAATCTATTCCCTCCTTCTAGCATGTTCCTTTTGCAGGTTCTCGGATTGCATTAAATAAGTGAAATGGACCATAAAACAAGGGTGTAATGTGATCCTGCTCTGTAGCACACTTCCTGCTGGGCCTGCACAGTAGTTCCTGGCACAGGAAACAACAAGCCACTTTGGGCAGAACTCAATCAATTTTTGTTTTAAGCGAAACTTTGTGTAATTAGATTTTATTCTATTTTTACTTTTCTATTTCTTTACTGTCTTCCACATAATCCTGCAGCATCACCCCGGTATATGCCATTTGTATCTCACAAGCCAAAAGACTGACTGATGGATAGATTCTAATCAGACCAACTTAGACCTTTGTACAGTCAGCTAAGGGTTTACTTAAAAAGTGAGTGATGACTGAAACCCAAAGATTCAGAACGAATGCCATTATAATCCCAGACCAGGTCTAAAGCCAAACCAAATCCGTTGCTGTCAGTCGATTCTCACCCATGTGTTATAGAGTAGAACAGCTCCATAGGATTTTCTTGGCTGTAATCTTTACAGAAACAGATCACCAGACCTTTCTTCTGTGGTGCCACCGAGTAGGTTCAAACCACCAAACTTTGGGTTAGTAGTCAAGTGCAAACCATTTTCGACACCCAAGGACCAGGTCTACATACTTCAAATTTATCTTAAGGTAAGATAATAAGCTTCTTTTAAATCTGAATCGCTCTTGTTATTGAAGTGATTTCATTATGATAGTTTGTGTCCTTTAATAAATATTTGCTTTTAGTTAGTGATTCTAAGAATTAAGGGATTATTTATTCTCAGTCTTTAAAATGACACAAGCATGTGCAAGTAAGACATAATATTTTGTCACATGGTTTTGGGCATGGTAAAAAAACAGATTTACTGTTAATTTTAGTATCTGTTAGTGAATAATGGAGCCCTGGTGGCACAGTGGTTGAGAGCTACAGCTGCTAAACAAAAGGTCGGCGGTTTGAATTCACCAGCCGTTTCTTGGAAACCATATGGGGCAGTTCTCCACGGTCCTATAGGGTCATTATGAGTTGGAATCGACTCAGTGGCAACGGGGTTTTGGGTTATTAGTGAATAAATAAAACGCTATATTCTCAAGCTAAAACTAAACAATGCCAAATAGACTAAAAAAAAAATTGTATTATCCATATTTTAAAAAGATCTGGATTTTCTGGCATTGTCTAGGAAAAAAAATAAAACTAGTTGTCATCAAGTCTATTTTGACTCATGGTGACCCCGGGTGTTGCAGAGTAGAACTGTGCTCCATAGAGTTTTCATGGCTGTGACCTTTTGGAAGCAGATTGCTAGGTCTTTCTTACAAGGCACCTCTGGGTGAATTAGAACTGTCAGCCTTTCAGTTAGTAGTCAAGTGCTTAACTGCGTCATCCAAGGACTCCTCACAGTGATTATATAATCTCAGGGATATTCACGTATTTCTAATGGATACCCCACTTATTTCCTAAAAAGATTGAAGGGTTTCCTTTTGGAGGATATTTATAAGTAACCTAGCTGAAACTAAATTAGACATCAAGACAGCTGATGTGGATAGCACTGACTTTCCTCTCCTCTTATATTTTTCTGTGTGGATATGCAAGCCGGTTTGAGGCAAATATTGACCTTTATGTGCAGAACAGGGACGTTTACAGATTAAGGAGATTTATAAGCATTCCACATTATGTTAATATTCATTACCCTACTCCAGGCAACTGGAAGTGAAGCTTATATAAGCATTCATTCTCAGGGTTCCCACTGAAAATTTTTATGGTGGAGGAGCCTAGAGCAGCAGAAAAAGTGCAGCCATTGTTAGATTATAGAATCTCAGGTTTGAATCCTTGCTTCCCCACTCACTCGCTGCATGATCTTGGGAAAACTAATCAACTAACTCCCTTGTGCAAGCTTCCTCATTTTTAAACAAGGATGTCTTTACGCTAATAGTTTGAAACTCTACAATTAGCCATTTCCAATCAGAAGGGAATGATTTTTCTTTTTCTTCTTAAAAGGAAGAGTATTTCCCTTTCCCAACAGGAATTAATAACTTTTTGGTGTTATTTGACATTTTATATTGTGATTCTCTTAGAAGGTGGGCTTCTTTACTTTTTGTAACTTTTACTGACTGTTTACTAATACAGGTTATTTTAAAGAGCTTTTAGCAATACATATAGGCCTAAGGCAGAAAATAACAAGAATCTAATATAAAATGAAATACAATTTTAAAATATAAATTCAAAGTGGGTTTAACACTTTCTAATGTATTCCAGGAACTCTGGTGGCAGAATGGTAAAGAGCTTGGCTGCTAACCAAAGGGTCAGCAGTTCGAATCCACCAGCTGCTCCTTGGAAACCCTGTGGGGCAATTCTACGCAGTCCTATAGGGTCGCTATGAGTCAGAATTGACTCAACGGCAATGGGTTTTTGGTAAAAATTAACTTGTCTGACTTCTCTTTTTCCTTTCTGTGTTCACCTTAAGCACTGATGTTCAAATGTAGCAGTGCTTCCCAAACTATGTGGTAGAAGACTAATTTTCAAAAATTTCTAACTTGCTGTGGACTTACACTTTTATAAAATAGAACAAAAAGTAATTACTAGAAAAGTGAAATAAAAATACAAATATATACAAAATACAAGCATCAGTATTTTATTTTTTGACTCAATAGAGACTGTCAAATTACTATGAAAGTTTCTAAATCTTTACTCTCAAATTCTTATCTGTTGTGGATTGGTAAAAAACAAGCATTGCCTGTGTTGGGTCCTCAGACTACTCTGGTTAGCGATGCTCTTCCTGTCTTCATGTCAAGAAGGGAGAGGCTAAAATTACTTTCGGCCTGCTCACTTTGAGCTAAAAACAATGCTGTCGTTGTTGTTAGGTGCCGTTAAGTTGTTTCTGACTCACAGCGACCCCATGTACAACAGAACGAAACACTGCCGGGTCCTGCGCCATGCTTACAATCGTTGTCATGCTTGAGCCCATTGTTGCAGCCACTATGTGAATCCATCTCGTTAAGGTTTTCCTCTGTTTCGCTGACCCTCTACTTTACCAAGCATAATGTCCTTCTCCAGGGACTGATCTCTCCTGATAACATGTCCAAAGTATGTAAGACGTAGTCTCGCCATCCTTGCTTCTAAGGAGCATTCCGGTTGTACTTCTTCCAAGACAGACATGTTCATTCTTTTGGCAGCCCATGGTATAGTCAATATTCTTCGCCAACACCACAATTCAAAGGCGTCAATTTTTCTTCAGTCTTCGTTATTCCTTGTCCAGCTTTCGCGTGCATATGAGGCGATTGAAAACACCATGGCTTGGGTCAGGCGCACCTTAGTCCTCAAGGTGACATCTTTGCTTTTCAATACTTTAAAGAAGTCTTTTGCAAGCAGATTTGTCCAATGCAATTGGTCTTTTGATTTCTGACTGCTGCTTCCATGGGTGTTGATTGTGGATCCGAGTAAAATGAAATCCTTGACAACTTCATCTTTTCTCCATTTATCATGATGTTTCTTACTGGTCCAGTTGGAGGATTTTGTTTCTTGATGTTGAGGTGTAATCCATACTGAAGGCTGTGGTCTTTCATCTTCATCAGTAAGTGCTTCAAGTCCTCTTCACTTTCAGCAAGCAAAAAGCAAGAGAATGAGAGAATGTTCAGCTGCTACAGATGATTGGCACTCACAGGGCAAGGATGCTCATTTATAGATGAGGAAAGTGAGGCTCAGTCAGGAGACATGGCCTCCAAGTTTAGGTGCAGTATTTGGTGGGAAAGCCCCAGGGCTAGAACCTAGGTCTCTCCTTGCCCTAGGTTTTTTGCTTTTCCTTTTTTCTTTTTCCTTCTTTCCTGTCTTTTTAATGACCTTTTTCTTTCTTCATATATGGTGCCCTTGATGTCATCTCACAACTTGTCTGGTCTTCGATCAGTGAGTCAAATCTACTCCTTTTTTTCAAATTTTATTTTATTTTTATTTTTTTGCTTTTCCTTTTTTTTGAACCTTATTACTGTTTACAACTTACTCACATTCTGGTCCTTAAATTATTTTTAACCTTTTCGTTTTTTCTATTAGCATTTGGTCTTTTTGACTATTGGAAGATGTGTAACCTTATCAGCAAATGAGTGGCCTTAAAATAATTTCCAAGCCTGTGCATTATTTACTTTTTAAACTATTGTTTTTTAATTTTCTTATCCCCTCACCCCCCATTTTGCCCATGATTCAGTTTCCTAAAATTAGTGAAACCACATAATTGAGTTCCTTAATTTTTCATCTTTTGCAAAGATGTTGGAATTAATTTTGAAGAATTAATGATTCCAAAACCCAAACCTGTTGCTGTCAAGTCGATTCTGACTCAGAGCGACCCTACAGGATAGAATAGAAGTGCCCCACATGGTTTCCAAGGAGTGGCTGGTGGATTCAAACTGCCGACCTTTTGGTTAGCAGCCGAGCTCTTAACTGCTGAGCAACCAGGCCTCTGAAGAACTAGTTACTATGTAAAAATTTTTCATAAGAAATGGAGCATTCA